ATATGTACACTTCAATCTATCTCTGATCTGGCGCCTGACTGCTACTACTAATAATACTTGTGGGTCAACGCCTCAACGGTACTTTGCGTTCGCAACATTCCGTGTCCTACGCGTATAATGCTTTTAAGGTTTAATTCTATAAATATTGTTAGTGCTGAAAATATTTATACATCAAGGTGGCTTCCGCAAATCTTATGATTAATAATAATCGGTAACATGACAAAATGGTAACTAGATTACATAGGCGTATTTAGGATTTTTAGTACATGAGTGCACTACTAAAAAAAGGAGAAGATATATATTAAATGAGAATCGATCTCTATTCTTCTTACTAATTAACTCAACCTTCAACCAAGTGCACCATTCAAACTTGTATATAGTAAAACTATATAGATAGGTAAAAGGATTAGTCTGTCATTGTATATACGTTAAATCTTTTTTCTTTTGGCTTTTATTTAAAAAAAATAATTTTTAAAAAATAATATTAAGCTACACCTTTTACCTTACCTCCCTAAAAGTAAAGCACTTTCAAATACTTCCTTGCCGACCATATTAAGTAGGGGTGTACAAAGGAAACCGACAAACCGCACCAACCCGATAATCCGAGTCAAACCGAGAAAAAAACCCCGACTATGGTTTGGTTTGATTTGGTTTGGTGTTGGAAAAAAAAACTCGACCATAATTGGTTTGGCTTGGTTTTAACTAAAGAAAGTCAAACCGAAACCAAACCAACCCGACATTACATATATAGAAATTTTAGATATATTTAATATATAAATATACTTATAGTGATGTAATTTATAAATATTTCGTAAAGGATTTCATAATTTATCTTTTGAGGTATTATTTCAAGGTTGGATNGTAGTAAGTAGATACTGATTTTAGGCAACGAAAATATAGTGAAGGGACAGAAAATAAACGTGAACAAAAGGCACAATATACAGGAAACTCTTTTCCCAACTTTGTATTTAACTCGAGCATACAAAGAAACTCAAACTCAAGTACATCCGTGTGCAAAAATGAAGATCGCTCTTGACCCTCACAAGACTACTCTTAGCCTTAGGTTGTTTTCACTCTTAAAAACAGGCTTAGGACTCTTCCTAACTTAAAACATGCACTCTTACACGTTTTTAACTCTGTATGCCACAAAGGGAATAGGTGCTGCCCATTTATAATACATGAACCAGCCCCATTTACACAATAGTTGCCCATTTTTAGGCTTTGACACTTGCCAACTCAGCCCACTACTTTACTTTAGCGTAGTTGACACCCCCAACTACTAGGATCATGTAAATCATGCTAAAGTAAATGGGATCATGGCCCCAAAAACGTGCTAACACTCCTGCCAGCTTTTAGGACAAAGCTAACTGCTGCCCATGTGCACAGCATGTGCCGGTAACCGCCTTTGACTTTGTCAAACCAAGACTTGCTGCCCCAATTTCGTGCCTTGGCTTGGACCAGCTCCAATGCCATTGTATCCAGCTGCATTGTGCCACAAATTGCCTTGCCATCGCCCACGAACTTGGCCTGTTTGCCGCAACTCATTGCCATGACAAATCTGCCCGCGCACTGCCTTCCCGTCGCACATTTGCTTGCCTTTGCCTATCCGTTTTTGCCTTGCCTTGGCATCACTGCCTCATGCCTTGATGCCTTTGCCATAATCAAGTGTCACCCTTAGCCCGCAACTCATTGTCAAGCCCTTGCCAAGCTGCCTCGCATCCGTTCAAAGCCTTAGCCATCGCTTGCTTGTTTTCCCTTTTTGACTTTGGTGCCACTCGCGCACCAGCTTTGCAACACTCTTGTTGCCTCATCACAACACTCTTGTTGTCAAGTCGAGCTCAATTGGCGGAGGTCTAACACCTATTACATAAGCAATTGGGTTTTGGTGAGAGGGACTAGTAGGTATTAGCGAGACAAGTGTTAACAGTTTGCTGTGTGCACTGCATGTCGAAGACTTAGGTTGAGAGTTAGGCATAGATGCAGTTTTTGATACAGATCTTGTCACAATTTTCGAAAAAGGGGTTTCTTCAGATCCACAATGACAAATATTTGAAACAATAAAGTTTTGGTACTAGTTCTGCATGCATGCAAATTTATTATTTTCTGGGTCTATATTAGAATTAATAGTTATATATTCTTTTATGGTTTAAAAATTTCTCTCTACTGGAAACAAATGGACTGTAACTAAATTGAAAGGCATGTAGATCACCATAGGAAAAGACATGTGAACCTTTATATTTCCTTTGTTTTTGCTGATATCTTTTTTTAAAAAAAATTCCTCCACCCTTCTATGAACTAGTATTATCAACATAAACAAGGTAATATTCTTCTTGAGCCTTTAAGCTAAAGGGTTAACCATTGAGCACTCAAATTTGGAGATCTCTCAGGAGCTTTTGGCATTTGAATCTCTAGCTTATGAGGGACCTGCCTAATATAGTAACTGTTTCCTAATGGCGTCTCATGGAAGTGAATGATTGAGGTTAAAATATTTATCAAGGGCCTGGAGAGGTGAACCTTATGGCACCGCAACTAAATAACTATTCCTTCCTTCTGCTCCAAAATAGACCCAAAAGAAAATCGTAGATTTGCTTGTATCAGCAAAAACTTCCATTATCTGTAAGTAAAAATTAGAGTTGTAATATGTTTGCTTCTTGTGGACTGCTAAAGTGGAGGAAGTTTCTGCTCTCTCCTTTTCCCTAAAAGAACAGTAAAATGGATCTCATACCGGTTTCTAGAAGGGAAAAGGAAACTAAGCATTACTTACAATTGTATTTGATATAGACTAGGCCCTTCTAACCTTGATTGATGTCAAGGTAACAGGAAGCAGAATAAGATGACTGTCTATGTTCTAGGCTAGATATAAAGTTGCTTGAAAGGCATTTAAGATGGCACTTTTTCCACCGAAGAGGGAACAAACTTGACTATTTTGTCCTCCTAATGGCAATCTATTTGTTAGTGTGGCTACTTTTTGCTCCACCACTTGGGACTATTTTTTTGGTTCTGCCATAGTAAGAGATAATAAGTTGCTCATTCGCAATTTTAGTTAAGTCTTCACTATTTTCTCGTTGTCTTTTGACGAATTTTATGCATTTCCATTTTGGTTCACTCATTGGTTCAATACATGGAGTAGGTTTTGATTTTTGGGCATTTACGAGATTGTTTCTTACCAAGTGAGCCAACGTGCTTATTTTTAGGAAGCAAAGTGTGCAGGATATGACGACAGAAATACAACTATTGCCTGCAATTCTTTAGAGTGCTAGGAAAACTAACCTTTTGTCAGCTATATAACCTCTTTTCTTTTGTGGTTGTCTCTTTTTTTTCTTTTTCTTTTTTTTTTTTTTGGTGGGGGTGGGGGTTACATGAGGGGAGGAGTCTGGTGAGTTATCCAATCATCTGTAGAAATAAAGTAAACTGTTATATTGTGCTCACAAGTTTATTTTGGCGTCCTCGATTTTCTTTTGCCCACAATTGGGCACATCATAGTTTCTGTGCTTGAAACTTTATATCCTATAATACACTAATTATAATTTGTTATATGCAGTGTATTTTTGTGCCATGCCTATGCCAGCTGCCAATCCTTTGCAGTTTTGTGACAGACGTTGAACTGGACTTACTGTTCTGATCTTCATGGTCGTTTTTCATTGAAGTACTCCATGTCCATAATGTTATTTTGACTGCACTGATAGCAAATCACTTTCTTTACATTAGTTTATTTTCTGTGTCATGGTGGTTTGATCTTGTAATTCTGGCTTAACTGGAAAGAAAACTGGAAAGGCAATCATTCTTTGTTTAGTTCGTCAAGTCTGCTTTAGTGGTTTTTGCTTTTCAAGTCTTCGTGTTTGTTGAATGGACATTTGAAACCTCAAGTTGCTTTGGTGTAGTTGTATGCCAGAGAGGTGTTCCATTTGTGGCAAACATCGATATCATTTTGTAGTTTATCTTGAACCAGATCCTAAATGTGAAACGAGGTGGGGAAAAAAATTAAAAAAAATGGAGATCGTTCTGGTGGTACCACTCAAGGGTGTGGTCTAGCGTTAAATAAAGTGGGCAAATATTATGGGATATTAATGCTTATTAATTGTTTTCTTCTTGTTTATCTTCACCTTGATGGATAGATACTTGGTACATAATAATACATATACAACAAGGAATGTACAATTACACGAATATTGCTTCCTTGGGGTTAAATACTTAAATTACTAGGGGCATGTAGCTTCTCCATTGCGCCTCATCTATATCAACACAATTTAATCTGGTTCGAGCTTTGAATATAATGTTACTCTGGCTTCCTTATGCCTCGGCTTTGTCGGAGCTCTTATTTATCAAGAAAAGCATATCTTTGTTGGTTTCAAGAACGTTGGTTTTCACGTTTCTGCTTCCTCCATTCCCATGGCATTTCAGGATTTCTGGCTGCCCACAAGCCAATTCGTTTTGCTCGAGCTTCTTTCTCCCACTAAAACCATGGAGAAAAATTCTTTAGATAGATTGCCTTGGTCAGTCTATAGCGACATGAAATCTCAGTTACCTTTTCTAACTCTGGACGCTTGTCGTACGCAGTATAGTGCCAAGCCAAGCCCTTCTTCAGCATCACTTCCTATAAGAGAGGTCAAGTCAGGACTAGAAGACTTTTATTGAGTAACTGGGAGAAGAAAGTGTTGTATCGGATTTCAGTACCTGTACAAATATGCCATTGCAGTATATATCTCCTACACAACGGCCATAGCGATCCTCCTCAAAAATCAAGACCCTTAAACTCTTGCCCTGAACAACTTTAGTTAGTTCTTCCTTGGCCTCTTTACCATATGGCATTGCACTTTCTGGTGCATCTATTCCCCTGATTTCTCATTCATTCGTTATTACCAGTTTGATATATGCATATATACCAAAACTAAGGAAAAGACTTTTCCAAGAAAGCGTCTTGATACCTTAATCTGATCCTATATTTTCGAGCGAGAACTTCCTCATTGTTCACTGGTATCACTCTGTTGACAAAAACTCAACTCAGAGAACTGAGAGTAATGAATGTATGAATGAATGGTAAGACAGACGAAGTTATGCTTATGCAACTGACCGGTATCCTGAATCTATGATTTGTTTGTGCAGTTCATCTGCTTTGGGATAATTCTTCTGAGCCCTTGCTTTTGATCTTTGAACTGCCGCAACTTGCACATCTCTTGGGAGACACGATGACTCTCTAGGATCTGTTGTACTAACATATACAGTTACTGTATCACCATCTGCTACGGCCTTGGCGTCCACCTAGCACATAAAGCATTACACTTTACACTTATTTGAAGATTCAGAGGTTTAACAAGTTTTGAGATTGTAAAATTCTTACAGGGAGAGTATGCAATTCGAACTTGAGTCCCTGCGGATGTGATGGAGGAGCACCATCGCTGCTCAGTTCAACTAGGGAGTGAGGAAGAGGAAGACCATAGAAAGCCAATAACCCCTGCAATCAATATCAAATCTATGACAGTCTAGCTAGACATTATAACAAGTTGGAAATTTTAAATATGAGATTATTATTTAGTACGTAGTGCCAAGTTACTACCTCGACATCTGCTTTCTGATGTCTTTTCAAGGTCTGAATGACAAGCCTTGAAGCTTCTTCAGGTGTTTTAGGGGGAGGCTTTGTTTCTCTCCATGCGTCTGAAAGTTTCTTATACCTTCATATTTCACCAAGAATTACGTGTAATCGAAGCCATGGACAACAATCACACACCAAATGCAAAATAGATGCACATAAATTAACAACTAATATCGATATATAATTGGAGCTAGTACTACCAAATTGCTTAATGAAGTTTTACCAGTTAGCTTGAGCCTTCTTGGATGAGACAACATGCTTACTCAATCCTTGAGGAACCTTGAGAAAACACAAACAAAGGTTATAATTTTATGCAGGATCCAACTGAAACTGAACAACCCGGATCTTAAAATTGCTTGAAAAAGTTTTTTTGGACCTCAATGATCAGCAATTGGTAGAAGGACTATTCACATTCTTCATAGCAAGACAGAGAATTCAGGTTAATTACCTGGGAGGTGATCTCAAAGTTGTAGAGATCGTGTGCTAGAGCTGAAACGCCGACGGTGGTGTGTGTAACACCGTGATGGCCGAGGGAGTCGGAGTCTGCTGAAGGTTTGCAGCAATGACCATACAAGAATCTCAGAGCGTTTCCCATTCTTGGAATCTAAATTATTCCTTTTTTCAGATTCTGGGAAAGATATTTGAAGATGCCAATATCAAGATTATTAACTTAGAAGAGATTGGGGATTGGGTTTAGCTTTTAGGTTAGAAGAGATGGTAAGGAACCCTTCGTTGGAAAATTGAAGATCAAGTTTAGGAACCAATCAGGCAAAACTTGGCAACGTAGTGACTTGTGATTGGTTTAAGGATACGTAATATGTACACTTCAATCTATCTCTGATCTGGCGCCTGACTGCTACTACTAATAATACTTGTGGGTCAACGCCTCAACGGTACTTTGCGTTCGCAACATTCCGTGTCCTACGCGTATAATGCTTTTAAGGTTTAATTCTATAAATATTGTTAGTGCTGAAAATATTTATACATCAAGGTGGCTTCCGCAAATCTTATGATTAATAATAATCGGTAACATGACAAAATGGTAACTAGATTACATAGGCGTATTTAGGATTTTTAGTACATGAGTGCACTACTAAAAAAAGGAGAAGATATATATTAAATGAGAATCGATCTCTATTCTTCTTACTAATTAACTCAACCTTCAACCAAGTGCACCATTCAAACTTGTATATAGTAAAACTATATAGATAGGTAAAAGGATTAGTCTGTCATTGTATATACGTTAAATCTTTTTTCTTTTGGCTTTTATTTAAAAAAAATAATTTTTAAAAAATAATATTAAGCTACACCTTTTACCTTACCTCCCTAAAAGTAAAGCACTTTCAAATACTTCCTTTGCCGACCATATTAAGTAGGGGTGTACAAAGGAAACCGACAAACCGCACCAACCCGATAATCCGAGTCAAACCGAGAAAAAAACCCCGACTATGGTTTGGTTTGATTTGGTTTGGTGTTGGAAAAAAAAACTCGACCATAATTGGTTTTAACTAAAGAAAGTCAAACCGAAACCAAACCAACCCGACATTACATATATAGAAATTTTAGATATATTTAATATATAAATATACTTATAGTGATGTAATTTATAAATATTTCGTAAAGGATTTCATAATTTATCTTTTGAGGTATTATTTCAAGGTTGGATTTAGAACTTTTGAATGTTCCAATAAGTTTTATAGCCATTAACATTAGTAAATTAAATAGTGCTAACAAAAGCCCAAACCAAAATCAAATCAATAGTAATGCTAACAAAAGACGTTCAACACAATACTACGAACGTGAATGTATTGAATATCTATTTTTTGTTTTGCAATAATTTAGAAAAAAATGCATAACATATTTTTATTTTTTCTTTAGCGTTTAGTCATGTAATTAATACTCCCTTATTAGTCTACTTATTTTAGCATGACTTAGTACTTTTAGATTATGTTTATTTTTATTATGGCGTTTTAATTAGCGGCATTTATATTACATAAGTTTATTGTCTTATTGTTGAATATTTTAGGATAATGCCATGACATATCTCATATTTTGTATTATTTTCTTAGAAGATACTTTATATAGTTGTATCTTACTAGGACTAAAGAAATATTTTGAGCACAATTTATATATTTTGTTCTACGAAGATTTTACCGGAAAAAAACCCGAAAACCCGAGAAAAACCGAGAGTGAAAAACCCGAGTTTTATTAGTTTGGTTCGATCTTTAGATTTAATAACCCGACACTATTGGTTTGGTTTGGTAATTGTAAAATCCGAACCAACCCGACCTATGTACACCCCTAATATTAAGCATCGAATTTAAGTTGAAGCCAAACAGCCCCAAAAAATGAGTTGACTTTTAGCCCCCATTTGGCCATACATTTTGGCACCATTTTTTCAAATCTTTTTTGAAAACATTGTTTGTTCATAGATTTATGATTTATTTTTGAAAAAATTTTGAAATTATTTTTTAAGTTCCCAAAATCTAGTTTAGGGTAGATTTTGGGTGAAACTTGTTCTCCCATGATGATAGGCTATAATTGCATATTTTAGTCGCTTATTACACTCTAATTTACTGCACTTTAGTTGAGTTTGCGCTTTAATCGCTAGTGCTTTGCACTAATTGTGTGTTTTATGCCTTGTAGGTGTGATTCCGAGCTATATAGATGTTATGGAATGAATTTAAGTGATTTGAAGCTTTGAAATCTGAGTAAAAGCTCAAGTAATTAAGCCGGGATCGTGTTCGGGGGTCAAATTTGATAATTAAGTACAAAACGAAGACTTGAGGAGGCATATTGCGCACTGTCTAGTAAAATAGACATAACTTTTTGCTCAGAATTCCATTTGGGCTCCACAATATATGATTGGAAAGCTAACTCAAAGGGCTACAACTTTCATGTTTTACGTTTTTCCAAATTCGAAACGGAACAGGGTGAAAACGCGCAAAGTTCGCGCGCTAAAAAGACTGAGACAGAAAGGTGCGCGAATACCGCGCGAAGACCGCGTGAAGTCGCGCGTCTGACCCGGGAAAAGTGTTCTTTTTCACATTGGAGAAGGTATAATTGTTTGGGCCTAACCCTACTTGGTATATATACACGGAAGGACGCCACTTTGGGGGGATCGAACATATTTTGGAGGAGAATTCACGTGGAGGAACACACACCACGCTTAGAGGGGACATATTTTGGACATTGATTCGACCTAAGGAGGCAAGAACACATTGGGAGCAAGGCGGAGAATTCTTCTACGAGTTTTTCCTTCCTCTTCCTATTTTTCATTGTTGGTTATGACTTTTAGTATTGTAGTTTTACATACTATTATGAATAGCTAATTTGTTATCTAGAGTTTTGATAGAACCTTTTGTAGGATAAATTCTTGTTATGTTTTTATATAATTGAGCCATAACTTTTCTCTATTTGTTCAACTACGTTTATATTGTGGTTGGTTGAAGAGCTCTCAATTAGCTGTGCCTATTTAGTATGCATAACTCGGGAGAGAGTGCATATTTAGGTAATTGTTGAACAACACCACTCCCAGAGTATATGAGGGATCAATAACCGAGGGTTTAAAGGTGGGATTAGGGATAACGAAGCCTTGGGTGCGATCTGAAGTGAGCTGTATTAAAAGCCAGCTAGCGTAGCTCGGGAGAGTGCGTCTAGTAAATTGTCGTAATTACTCGGGAGAGATTTACGGTAATAAGAGTGCTCATGATCGGCAGAGAATACTTAGGCGAAATTATAGAAGACATAGCGGGAAGGATTCCGAAAATTGGGAAAATCATAACTCTAGACCTCCTCTCTAACCCTCAGTATCGTTAGTTGTTAATTTACTATTTTAATTTATTAGTTAAGTAGTTAAACAGAAGAATCTTAATATCTATAAGTTAGGAATTGTTCAAGCTTGTCTTCTTGGTGATAGTGAACAGCTGTAGCTAAACCTTAGTTCTTTGTGGGATTCGACTCCGGACTTGTAAACCGGATTATATTTGCAGCGACCGCTTAGTCCTTTTTATAAGGCATAGTTGGGCGAGATCATCCCACTCACAAAACTTCAAATTTTTTTCAAATAAAATGCATGTCCAAACATAATTTCAACTTCCAATTTTTTTTATTTTTAAAAACTACTTCAAAAATTATTTTTTCAAGTTTCAACTAAATCTATGTCCAAACGCTAGCTTAATAGATAACATAAAGCGTTTGTATATGTCTCTTATTCATTGCATTGGATCCACCGTCGGCATCATGCAGCGATAACGTAACAAGGACTTTAAAAGCATCACATATTTAAACAATTTATAATATCATCCCCCGACAATCACCAATAAAACAGACAAAATGATTCGAAACCAATTACGACAAGTCATCCAAATTCTGGACAATGTTTTATTTGGGCCTAGGGAGCTTGAAGCGAAGATCTGGGTTACCCAATTTGTTGTCGTATTTACAGACTTATGGGAGACGGGCAACAATAGAAAGGGGGCAAGTATAGATATACCCGTTTTTGGGCCACCATTAAAATCATATCCGCAATATACAAAAACTTTAGGGATTTTTACCTAGTTATACTATATTAAAAACTTATTTACCTATGTTCTCTATGTTTTGTAGTTTTTAATAAATATCTAGGTTTTTCTTACAAATTGTATATATTACCCCTTAAAAGGCTCTCACCCCATTATTAGTGTCTTCAATTAAGCGATTCAATTATATCCTTTCCTTTTTTCATCTCTTCTCTTCTCTCTCCTTTTTCTTACATCAAAATCTCTTAATTACACCAAGAATCTCCATCTTCTCTCTTCCCACCATGGCCGAGAGGTTTATATTACTAAAAAATATTCAGAAATTGTATGATAAATGTATCATAATTGTATTTGAATTGTATTAGATACATCAATGCCTAATACATAATTGTATCATACTTGTATTACAATTGTATCTAACTTATATCTGGTACATTAATACCTAAAATAATACCTGATACAATACTAATAAATTAATATACAATTATCATACTTGTGATACAAACGGTGAAATTTGTCATGAACTCACAACTGCTGGTAACAATATACAATGAATATACAATTATCATACATTTGTAATACAATTCCTACAACAATTATAATACATATACAATTATAATACAATCGCGATACATTAATTTTTAAAATTTGGGATACAATTATGATCTTCATCTTATTCAAGTTTCAATCACAACTCTACACTAAAAATTTAATATACTCGTATTAAAATTGTATTAGTATTGTATCGAGTATTATTTTGGGTATTGATGTATCATATACAAGTCACATATAATAAAATTTTTAGGAAAAAAGAAAAATAAGATTCAAAACTTACCCAGAACTTGATTCCATAGCAATATTTCAAATTTCGTCTGCATTGTATCAATAAGAAATAGAGATTTTGGGTGATTAGTAAGAAAGAGAGAAATTAAGTTTGAAAACCTTTGGAAAAGAAAAAGAATTGGAAATGCGGGGGGGGGGGGGGAGGGGGGGGGTAGGATATAAAAATAAAAGAGAGATTTTGGGTGATTATTAAGAAAGAGAGAAAAAAGGGACATAATCTTAAATGTAGGGGGAGTAATTGGAAATGGGTTGTAAATGACAAGCTAAAAATTAAGGGATCTTGTATTTTTTCTTTTTAATAGTTTTGTATATAACTTGTAAATATAGATATACAAAGTAATTAATAAGGAACCTAAATAAATATGGTAAATAGGTTTTTACTATAGTATAACTAGGTAAAAACCCAAAACTTTATCATTTACCTACTTCGGAATACACTTTAGAAAGTTGCATTTGATCACTTCAAAATTCACATATGAAGT